ATCAATAATACTTAGAGGGAACTGTTTTTTACTTTACTTAGAGAGAACTGTTTTTTGCTTTTTTTTGCTGACTAGATTTTTTTTAGTTTTCTTTAGTATTTCTTTTTACAAATGTCTAATTTTGCAGTTAATGAACTATTAAACTACTAGTATTCCAAAGGCAGAGCCAAGTGGTAAAGCATTTGGTTTCCAAACTGAGGAGTCACAAGTTCAAATCTCTGTGAAGACTCAGGTTATGATCTTGAGGATTTTCAGAATGTGTCCACCCAACTCTAATAGGTACCTGACAAGCGTATCTGGGAAAGTAAAGTACACTTGGTCATTGTGCTAGCCCCATTACACCCTGGTTAACTGACAGCCATAGGAAACAGATGAGCTCTGTGTCATGCGCATATGAAGTTGGTTCTTTTAAGGTGTGTTTCTTTTGTTCACCATAATAGTTTGTGCGCTGTTTCTAAGGACACGCAATTTTAACGTCATTGCTTCTTTTTGTTTTGCTTGGGTAGCAGATTCTCAGTTGGAGTTTTGTGTTTGTTGTTTTTCCCCAGTATTGGCGGCTTGGGACTCTGCTGAAGTCAAGCCTGATTTGTAGTTGCATGGACCCTTCTTGGCCATTATCCATGGCATTGGGATGTGGGCATCGAGAGCCCGGATCAAACGGTTTGAACTGTGACTAAGGTGTGCTTGCCTGTTAGTTAGATCTATGTTGTATAATTTCACATAACTTAGGCACGCTGTCATATTTATGTCATATTCTATCATTAAACTTTTGTTATATAAACTCTCATTGTTAACTAGTACACATTAACATATTGCCATTACTTGTTCTCTTAATATATTAACTGATAAGACTGTCAGGGGTGCCCGGGCAGATGAGCCATGGCCAAAATTACAACCCCGACACTCTGCATCAATAGATCCCAATGCCTTTTTTCCTTTTCTGTTCAAAGACAAGTCTCGGTAACTATTATAAAACTTACTTTGTAGGTCTTGAAAATGTTGAGCAATATGCGGCTGTTTGACCTCTGGATCAGATAAAACATTTATTACACATTCAAACCATCCTTCGTATTTTGGTAATAAGTCTAGCAAGTGTACATTAACATCCTCTGGAATCTCCTGTGTTAGACGCTGACGAACTCGTTTCTTTAAAAAGACAGAGAGATAAGCTACACCAAGAAATCACAACTAAACTTTAATATTAAAATCAATGCATCTGAATAAGAGCAGAGCTTAAATCATTCAAAACTCAAAAGCTTACTTCATTATATCTCTTTTGTTAACTTTCTTTAACTATAACATTCATCCTTTTTATGATTCTAAAATTTAATTGTCTCAAAAAATTTGCTGAATGTAATTCTTCAAGGTATGATATAAGCATTTGAAACTATATTTCCGTAAATATACGACTGTAAAATGTTATTTTAAAAAAATAATTAAAAAAACAAACCCTACCATATCTAGATCTGTGAGCACATTAAGGTTGTACTTATGAATACAAAGTAAGAAATTTTGTGGAACAATCATCTTAGTAAAAGAATCCTTGATATATTTAGCTAAACTCAGTTGATAGTCCACAGGATTCGATTGCCTTGCCATGGCAGTCAATCAGAATATCTAATAAAAAGAAAAGTAAACAAATATGCAAAGTCAGTTCAGTAAACAATTTTTATAATAGAAAAAAAATCATTTTTAGAATCATCCAACTCAGTCCCTATCTAAGACCAATACATTTTAAGAAAGAGAAACTTTAAAATGTTTCCAGGATGACTTTTCTGTTATGATGTCCTCTTTAATCTCATCAAAAAAGAATGCCTTTGGTATAGGGTCATCCACAAATGGAATAGGTGCAGTAGGCAGTACACTGTCCACAACAGCATTCACCAGAATATTGCTATTTATAGCATGGACTTGTCATCATTGTATGCTCATGATATATAGAGAGATCTTGAGGGTAAAAGAAAGATTTATATAACAAGGGGCAATCATAAAATAATTAGCATGTACATGTTAAAAGTGTTAGAATATTTTCATTTTTTGGATGAACAATTATCAAAATATTTGTAACTAAAATAAAAAAATTAAAGGTTGAAAAAAATGTGGCACTCCTAGATTTGCTTACTAAAATCTGTAAAAAAAAAGAGAAAGAAATGCAAAGATAATATTCTAGATCTATGGTAAATGTTTTAAAAAACAACAAAGAAATATTTCATTATTATATTATTATATATTAGGCTATATTATAGGAGAAAGAAAATGTTATTAAGTCTCTCTGAGGCACATATATATGAGACTTTAAAGAATAGTATATATATATAAATATATATATATATATATAAATATATATATATATATATAGAGAGAGAGAGAGATCTACAGTGCTTTTTTTTGTAAATTAATAGATACTCAGCAATTTTTTCCCCACATTGAAAAAGGTGCAGGTACGCCATACCAGTGTGTACCATCACAAAGTAGGGACTGTATATATATATATATATATATATATATATATATTTTGTAAATTTTTAATGCCTCGGCCTTGTAATAAGAGGCTTCACTAGTAGAATTTAGATCTATTATATCTATCTGTATTTTCAGTTTTAATACTTTTAAATTTTAATGGATCTGCCTACTTGTTAGAAGAAAAAAACAAGTCAAAGAGATAAAGTATTCTGTTACTTTTACTCCCTAAAAAATCGAATGTAGATTTAGATCTATATTTTATAGTGACATAAACAATAGGTCTTAAATTTAATCAACTTCATATAGATGTAATTCTAGATCTTATAATAAGTATAACATGTAGGCTAGATATGGTATAATATATTCTACTATACAAGGCCTATATAATCTCATATAGATCTATAGATATAGGTCATTCTATCTGGGTGGAAAATCTAATCTAGAATATTATGAATTACATCTTGGTAATCTAAAACAAGTGTTCAAGTGTATCAATATTACCGGGTATTGGCTGGTAGATAGATCTAGATCTAGTATAAGAAACTTTGTCGGCACACATCCCAGAGGGAAGGGTCCAGGGAGAGACGTACGATAGATATATCTAAGTTAGACAACTGATATTCAAAAAGTTGGTTTCGTTTTCCTATTTTTTCTAGGAAAGTCAGGAAAGCAGAGCGATTACTCTTGTTTCTCCGTGATTTCTTTTAAATGTATTTTTTTTTTCTTCTTTTCTTTTAAGGAGGGCGGGTTAGATCATTTAACACTTGGTGCTACCCCCTTCACCACTTGCAACTCTCCCTCCCCCCTCCCAAAAAAAATATTAATTAAATTTATCATTTGTTTGTTGAACTTTTAATATAAGGTCCATGAGCTTAAACCGGCCACGTTCATTCATCGTTAGTTGTAAAATTTGCGTCGCTTCTATTTTACTGCATCAATAAATAATACAGGAATCTAATTGACATAGCCTACAAAACCAAAAACTCGACGACAGTGCTGAAATCTGTGTGTAACGCCACCCTGAAGAAACCAAAAAATACCTTTACGTTTTCCTGCATTCTTAACTCCATGCATTCCATGTCAATACACATTATTTCTCCTAATAAGACCATTTCAAAAAAAAAAATTTAATTAAATTAAAAAGGGCTCTTAAAATTATACTAAAGTGTGAGAGAGATTCGATGTAGAAGAGATGAGAATGTGACTTGCGCAATGAAAATGTATTCAAGTGATGGAGATCGAGCTGCATCAGCCTCACTCTCTCTCTCTCTCTCCAGCTAAGTCCAGTGGCAGAACAGAGTCCAGACAACTGAGCTGATTTGGGGTGCAGTGGATGACCAGTGTGTTCTGCATGTCCCACAGTGCTTCAAAACGTTCCACGGCGACTCCTGGTAGTCCAATTCGACTTGAGCGCCATGCAGCCGCGACTAGTTTTCACTTGCTGGTGGTGGACATAGACCAGTTTCACCCCAGGGTGGATAGGCTTCATTTGAAATGGAATAGATCCTCCCTCAATCCATCCTCGTATTATAATATTTTAATTCTAGGTAAGCCATCTCTCTATTTGAAAATAAGAACTTCAGAGAAATCGATTAAGTGAGTTGGATCTTTGTAACTAAAGAGTTAATAGCGCAGGTCCACTAGAGAAATGTCCAGCACCTTCTCTCTGTCACCAGTAGATGTTGGTTGAACAGTGTAGACTCAGAAAGACACAAAGATAGAGGCACATTTCTTATTCCATACGCTAGGACAAATACGTACAAGTGTTCCTTCTTCCCTAGTGCCATTTGAAAATGGAATGGGTTGCATGAATCAGCCAGGAAAACCAACGACTTAACAGAGTTTAAGTCATTGATTAACATGCATGACTATTTATAGATTTGACATGAATTGCGTAGGACGTAATTATCTTCTTTTTTTTGAAAGTAACGTACGTCTGTAATATATTTAGGCCTATATATATATTAGCCTATTGTCTAATCTCTAATTCTCTTAACTATGTTCTTAAGAACATGTTCCGTAAACATATAGTGTAAATGACTAGTTCTTAAGTAAAAGATGAGCAGAAATAAAATATTTTTACTGAGACAGGCTCTAATTCACACTAGAAAAAAACAACAAAAAAAATATACTTGCAGGGCTATAACTGAAAAGGAAACAGGTATATAGCGTCATTGTTATTGGCGATTCTCGTACAAATTGAAGAGACACTCAAAATCATGCCATTTTGCATTAGTAACGATCAGCCTATAGAAAAATAGATGCAAAGTCACTAACTAATTTTAGGCCCTACTGTTTCACTGCGCATTGATTAATAGATTTGTGTACTTGCAAAAAGAAAAATTATTTCATCATCATGGACTTAGTAGTAAATATACCTTGCAACTTTTGTCACTATAATATGTCGTGCCTTTAAACTAGTTCAAATCCTACACCCATCTATAGGCTGATTTGAATTCATCTGGTCTCTATCCAAAACCCAATGCAGTACTTTGCAGACATATTCTATTCTGCTAAAGAAACAAGAAAGGCAGAAAGGTTTATCATTTTGTTTTATTAAGAGCAAGTTAATGACACACTTTCCTATTCACACAAACTATTTGTCAGGAAATAAATGAAGTTGTTAGGAATGCCAAGAGATTGATGAGAACCTCAGAATGGTGGCCAATCCTTGATTGTTTTACATGAATATATAGAAACTACTTTGGTGAGATGTGTAACAGTCACCAACTGTGTAAAATAAAAAAAATGTATAAAAGTAAAAGTATTTGCAATGTTGAATAGTCAAACATTTGTTATATTTTACATAACTTCAAACAATAATCACAATGACAAAATGTAAAAAAAAAATAAAAAAAAAAAAAAAATAGGAACAGCACTAAACGCTTTTGAATTCACAGCTTGATATTTCTTGAAAAAATGTAACTCTACTAGTTCTTACCCAAAAAGTCATTGCATATGTAATACTACCTTGTATCTCATCTATCATTTGGGAACTGGATAAGCCAGACAAGCTGTTTTTATGTAGGACATGGCTGTAATCCTTTATGGACAGTTTTATAAAATGTTCTTGTTTTTTTTTATTAGCTCCACATGATGCAAGTTACTTTTGATAAATTTGTAACCCTAACCCTAACCCTAAAGCCAGAAAATAAAAATCACACATATAAAAAAAACAAGCAGCAAATTAAAACATTCAACTTTTCAGTTCTAGAGGTCAATTAGTCTTTAGTGATAGCCTATACATGATCTAAGTTTGTTGGTCTAGTGATATACTGGTAGGTGATTTAAGTTTGTTGGTCTAGTGATACACTGCAGTAGGTGATCTACGTTTGTTGGTCTAGTGATATACTGGTAGGTGATCTATGTTTGTTGGTCTAGTGATATATGTGATCCAAGTTTGTTGGTCTAGTGATATACTGGTAGATGATCTACGTTTGTTGGTCTAGTGATACATGCGATCTAAGTTTGTTGGTCTAGTGATACATGTGATTAAAGTTTGTTGTAAGGTAAAGAGCTATCGATATCAAATTTAAAAAAAAATTAAATGAAGCTAATCATATTTCAAATGCTAAAGCAATTTTTTTAAAATCTGATTCAACAAAAGGTCTGGAATACTTTTGAGGTGTCTTACAATTGAATGACATATAATTGTAATGACATGAATATCTACAAAAGTCATCTACTTAAGTGACCAAACAACAGGATAGAAATAGATTATAATGAAAAAAAGATGTTAAATAAAAACAGTTTTTAGACCATTTGCAGACCTTGACCTTGTAATGTTCTACTGAGCCTGCTACATCAAATAATCTTTTTTTTCAATATATGCTTTTGTATCAAGGAAGATTAAGTTATAAAACTGTACTACATTAATTAAATCAAAGTAGTTACAATAAGTTGAATTTAGAATTTTTTCTACTTTTTTTTCATAGGCATAATACATTTCCATTAAATATTTTGATCTGTAAAATCTCAACAAAACTATTGAATTATATAAAAATGGGTATAAATGATTTAAAGTATCAATAACTTCACATACATTTCTATAAATATATTAAGTAACTCATGTTTTACTATATATACATTCACAATAGATAGAACATTCAACCTTGATACAAATGATACAAAACAGCTGTATGTATTTAAAAAAAAGGAAATGGGAACTAAAAACTTTGGAAACCAATAAATGTTTAAATGTAGGCCTAAAAAAATTTAAATTACTCAACTCATTTAATTTTAATTATGTACTATAATTTAAAAAAAAAATTTAAAAAATTGTGAACACATAGGCCTATGCATATACTTTTTTTGCAATAAGCTTATGTTTATAGAAAAGTTTGTAAAAGTTTTCACCTATTTAATAACAATAATGATTGAAATAAAAAGGGTTGCTCTCACATAAAAACATCACAGATGCAACTGCCCAAGAAACAGCAGCTAGACTCCACTGGCTACACCCGTAGCTTTACAGGCAACATACACCATTGAGTCATTTCTTGGCATTTAAAGTAGCAATGCTGGCCTTGTGTTTACTTCCCTTTAAATGGTCTTCAGCAATACTTAGAGATGCGAATTTGACCTGACATAAATTACAATACCCTTGACCATTTTCATTTAGAAAGTAAATGCTTGGTTTGGACTCAGGAGCTGGAATGGCACTGGGTTGTGGATTAGCGCTTTGCTGAATAGTGGGTTCCTTATTCTTTTCCAGAGATTCCAAATTTCTCTTATGCTTTTGTCCAGAATAGTGTTCTTCTGCATTTATAGCAGACGTGAACTTGGCTTTGCAGATGTCACAGTAGGACATGTCATGACCAGAAGCACTAAGCTGAGACTGTAACACAGGAGCTGGCTTTTGTTGTTCATTAGGAATAGCTTGTTGACTGGCTGCTTGTACCTGACTCACGTCACTTTTCTTCTTCGGGCCACTTTTTACCTTTTGAGGACCATTAGCTGGTGAATCTGGAACTAGATTTGTTGCTGGATTGACTGGTTTATCTTTGGTAGCAACATCTGGCCTTAGTTTCCCTTGTTTCTTTTTGGGATTGTTGTCTGATGTTGGCTGCATGTCTCCATTAGCTTGCAATGAATTTTTGGCTGAGCTCTGCTGAGGTCCTCTACAAGGAGATGCTCCATCCACAGACTGGCTGGGTTTTAACTGAGGTTTCTTTTTGTTAGGAGTATGGTTCACTGATAATATAAAAAATAACAGAATCAAATTATTTCTAGATGAAAACAAAATATAATGACATCAACAAACAAAATTAACATAGACATTTATAATCAAATTATTCTTTAAATTGTATTTTAGTAAATACAGAATCAAAACAAAAAGTCTTGTTGTTTGCCTATTTTTCTAATAAAACTAAAAATGAATTGTTTTAACATAGCTAACAAAAATATAAGAAAATTGGAATAGTTACAAGAAATATTGAAATTATATAATTAAAAAGTCTTTTTCTATATTAAAAATGGACTTTAAGTATTATTTCATATATAAAAATGTTGGTTGATATAAAAGATCTTTTTAAAAAATTGATTGTTTGTCTGCTGCATGCAAATAAAGTGAGTGCATTAAAAGATATACACTTCAAGATGCTAATATAAAATCCTGTGGGATAATTAGTTTCAGCTATTACAAGTTCAGTTCGCTGGTGAAAAAAAAAAGTATAAAATATACCCAGACATTAATATATTCTATATATTGCTATCTACGACTATTGGGCTAAAAAAAGGAAGGTGAGGAGTTTTTAAGAATTTGGATACATAGTTGCTTCCCATGCATGATTATAAAATTATGGTTAGTATTAACAAGATAGACAAGAGGGTTTAAACTGCCTTTTAAATCTTAGTTTGTTATATGTGTATTTGATTTCCGAAACAAAAGACTACACATTTTTGAGGACATTATAGACCTAAGATGAAGATTGAAATTTAATTTTCAGTTCAAGATTTTCATACTGGTACGTAGAAGAAAAAATATAAATAGCTACTATTTTGTTGTATCCGATGTACAAAATATGTGTTAGAAGTGTAGATAAGCTATGTTTTTTTAGAAGGTTTAGGATTAAATTTGTGCACTTTTTGTCAAAATCAAAATTACAATGTTTTCCCATTTGAAGCACAAAATAATTTCAGAATGTTGTAAGCTTTAAGCCTTCATTCTAAGACGCAAATTCAAACTTAAATAAATACACATGCGTTACTTAATTAACCAGTGATAGTAAAAAAATAAATTGTGATATGAAATCAACTGCTACTTATGAGATTTTGTTAAATTATAGTTCAATTTTTTAAATGATGAGAGTCAATTTAACGTCTTGACATTATTTGGTTTATCATAGAAATCAATAAATGCATTAAAAACATTTGTCAAAAAATCATGCGAAGCTATTTATATTCTTATAAAAATAGTTTATATGTGCATACAAAATGCAACCTTCATATTTGATTTAAAAAAAAAAATACTAAAAGACATTGTTTTTTGGTCATGATGAAGGAGATGGTGAAATCAGATTATGAATAGTTTATTATGTTTCTGATATCTAATTGTTACAGAAGGCCAATAAAGATAAAAAGACTTTATTAAATTGATATTTTGGACACAATGGTTAATATTTTCCAAACTAATTTAGTAAAGCAACAAAGTGATTTTTTTTTAAATTCTACTCCATACAATCTGTAGACCTTTTAAGTTTTAAACCAGATCAAAACATCTTGTTAGAAATTGTTATAAAAAACATACTCTTTTTAACTAAATTAAATACATTTACATTCTAAACTGTTTAAAAATTATTTTTTTTAAAATCCCAAATTGTTAAAAAAGAAAAAAAGTTCAATCAATAACAGACAAAAATGCAAATAATTAAAAAAAAAAAGAATATCTTGACATACCAGTTCTTACACATTCAAGTCCAATTTAATTCTATTGATAGAAACAGTTTCATCAAGTGGTAAACAAAAAAATTCATTCAGAAAGTGACACATAAAGTTGAGCATGTAAACATAATAGATAGTGTCTCATATCTTAGATTGAAAGTATGATTGAAATCACTGATTTTACTTGAGGGCATTTTTGAACATTTTTTTTAGATGTATTGCAAATGAGAAGCTGACATGAACTTTAAAAAAAACTTTTAGGGAAACTCAAAATAAAGAACTGGGGTACAAATACTGGAAAAAAAAAGAAATTAAAGTTTCAGTTTAAGCCAACATGTCTTTCTATTATAACTATGTATACAATGTAATAAATAGGAATCAGTTATTTACAACCTACCACTGTCTGTTGCTAGTTTTGGAGGGAACTCTGCTAATTGGCTTTCAACTACAGGCTAATATGAAAAAAAGAAATTCAAACATTTAATTCTTCTAAATTCAGTACATATGTAATTTAAAAAAAAATAAAAAAATTCATGTTATTGAAGTAAGATATATTTTGATTAAGTAGAAAGATACCCATTTCAAAGACTAGGTTTTGTTCTGATACACAAGTAAGAATTAATACACCACTTTCCTCACACATGTAGGTATTTTGTTGTATGTGCTTAACATATATATATATATCCTATACTCTTAAACAAGCAATTCTTGTATGTATGTATATATATTTATATACATATATATAAATTTTATTTTGAAAACAGCTCTAACGATTTTCTTTAAAATTTAAAGGTATGTGTATATTAAGGAGAAACACATTCTCAACTCACTGGCCACATTGGGAAAACTCATTAACGCTAGAATGTTTTATGAATAAAATTTTCTATTTGACGTCAAAGGGAAAAAAAACTTGACACCGCTTACATCACTAGGCTCACAGCAGTATACAGTACACTAAGACATTTCTTTGCAAAGAAGAACAAGTTTTAATGA